TTAAAATTTGGTGATTTAGGTATTTGTGAAGTGCCAAAGGCCTACCTATAGGACTCCATTTTACCATTTAAGTGGTTGAAGCATAAGTTTTCACAACATTGGTCTCACTAAATATGACCAAATAGACTAGTCAAAAAGCATTTCTTAAAAGAGACTAACTCTAAATGTAAACCTAACATGAAATATTTGTAAGCCAAAGAAATAGCCACTCATGGGGACTTGTACTAGTGGTTGGAAAGTAAATCTAACCACACATTAGCTAGAATCCAATAATACAATTTGAATTTAATTAATTCAACAACCTTACATGTGGGTTTGTCATCATTATAAAATACTTTCTTATTACACTGCATCCACAAGGACCAAACAATAATAACCACACCATTGTCAATGCCTCATGTATCAATCCTTCAAATTCCAACCTAGAGTATTGCATCAGATGATCCTAGCCTCCAAAATGAGTCGCCACTTGGATTTCCCACCATTTGTAATGTGAGGTCCAAGCTATCCAAAACAATTTGCCTTGGAACAACGGATGTTTTGCACTTTGTATATTTCTAGTAAAGCACGCATAGTAAGCCTTCTAAATCAAGTAGCATGCCTTTGCTCCTTAGGTTCTCCTTCATTGAAATTCTACCATTATGAGTCAAGTTTATTCCTTTTTTTCCTTCTTGATTATCCATTTCATGCAAAATCAATATAGTGTCAGGTACATAACCTTATAATTTCATGTCTAAAGTTAGATTTTTCAAATACAGATTGACTTCCTCTAATTACAAATGGAATTTATCAACAACCTAAAATTGATGAATTTAATTTTTGATTTCCAACTAGCTTTTACCAGGGTTTGTCACTCTCCTAATTCTTATGTATTTTCTTTCTATAGAAATATCTTGTCACCTTTTTGAAGATCAAGCCTAAGTACTCCTATGATAATCTTTTTTGCCATGTGTTCATTTTTCATCAATCTTACAAGAAAATAACAAAGTTTTCCGTATGATAGCATCTACTTACATTAGAATTGATATTATAGTAGCCTTAGCTTCGTTCAAGCAACCACAACAACTAAGTAGGTTGACTACACATGTATATTGTTGTACACTATGCTCTAGTCCATACTTCTGTATCATTACATCATCTAAGATTTTAACTCATTTTCCTTTCAAACCACAACAATTATGAGAATAAAGTAAGTACAAGAAGGTAGCATCATGCAACTTTAATTCTTCTTGCTCCATTTTCTCAAACAATTTGATCGTTTCCTTTACTTGTTCGTGAAAATTATAAGCAGCAATCATTGAGCTCCACAAGACTACATTTGTTTCTTCAGATTCTAAGAAGGCTTTTATAAAACCTTCCTAAACACCCATGCTTTGGCTACATGCTAATTAATGAACTTATCACACTAATGACTGAACTAGAACTATTCTTGATCACTTTTGATGAATTTGTTGACCTTGTCCAAGCATTGCTGAGTTTGAACATGAACTAATACAGAGGTAGCTTTATCATGCCTAAAGCTTGACAATTTCAGCATATTATAATACTGAACCAAAACATTCACAGTAATAAATGTATTCCAAGCAACCATATTGTGGATCGACATAGGTTAAATCACCTTTTCTCCTTCCTCCAAGCTCCCACATTTCATGTACAAATGGGCCAAAGAGCTCCTAACAACCAAGATGACCTTAAACCTACACTCCATTAGATGACCTTGGAGCTAACTCATTGCAAGCAAACCTCTTAAACCTACACAACCCTTAAAAACACTACCAAGAGTGTACTCATTTGGCATAAACCCCAACTCATGCATTTCACTAAACAATCTTATCCCCTCCTCATTATATTCATACTAAATGGAAACTAGAGCTTTCCAATTCATTTGACAATATATCTCTAGACCATTTCATCTAAAACTTGTTTGATACCCCCTAAATCACTAATTTGTAGATACCCATTTATCAAAATGTTTCAAGACATTTTTTAATGGCATGACACCACACCATGCCATATTTGTTTTTGAACATTTGTTTTTGAAAACTTGTTTGGCACCATGAATAATGCTTTTCCAAAATCTATAAGACCTTTTACAAGTTTTTCCAAGCTTGTGTTTTTAGACTTAGGAAAAGTCTTCCAACAAGCAAGGCTAAAAATGGTTTAACATTGAGACATATTAAAAGTAAAATATATTGAAAAACTAGGTATTAGTTTATTACAAATTGCGTTTGATAGAAAATAAAGATTATATTAGAATAAAAGAGATTACAACTAAATCTCCATCTTAGTGCCTTATAGCCTAAAGAAAATAAAAACATAGCCTATAGCATTAGTAACATATTTAAACCATACCCATGATGGATATAAACAATTAAGCAAAAGGAGCTATTTACAACTAGAGACTGCAATTACAATTGCTCCATGGGTATAAATAGGGCTACTAAGGTAGAAAGGAAAGTCATTATGAGCATTATAAGCTACTGGATTTAACCAAATTCATAGGAAGAGTAGGGAATCTCGACATCAACATTCCCCAACCCGCTAAATGTCATCCTTAAGCTATGTAAGTTTTAACCTAAACAAGGATCATGGTCTTTAGCTGGCTGGACTAAAGCCCACTTCATATCTTATGATTTTCCATTTACTTTGCTTCCTTCTGCAACTTTCCTTTACCCTCTTTGCTTTCTAATGCCATTAAACTGATGGGACAAAGACACCTCTACTAACTATGCATCAACCAATGCCAGCAAAAACAATAGGAGGCTAGTTCATATCATCTCCAATCATTTCCTTATTTGTGCCATCATATTTCGTTCCCCCCTCTATATGGCTTGCACAGTTAGGCAAAAAATTATTCAATTGTAGATCTTCATGATGCTGTTTGTCTCGTCATCCTCATCTCCAACTAAAAATTGGGTATTTGTAGAGAAAGTTTTATCCAAAGTATCAAAATATTCGAGCAACATGAGCTTTCCAATTCAAGTTTTAACAAATAACCAAAGTGTCATAGGATCTTACCCTCTTGCATCTTTCATGCCATTTGCAATTTCACAATCATTCTTAAAATGGCCCAAGCATCCATAGACAAAATAAATTTCTAGAAGTCTTTCATATTTAATCTCGAGCTTCTTCCTTTTTGTAGTAGTAATCTAAGAAGTTTTAAATCCTCTCAACTTCTCCATGTCCAATTCAATTCTAACTCTAATACCCCTGCTATATATCCTACATCTACCTCCAAGACTTTTCATAATGAGCTCCTGATCATGTATCCAATTTGCGCAAAGTGCATGCCAACAAAGACATTAAAGATTCTAACCTAGAATGGATTTGTGGAAAATTATATTGCTCTACAGTTAGAGAGGCATGAAATTGCTTTAGAATAAATAGTGAGTTGCTAAAATTCTAAAGACCTTTATCAAGGGTTTTGTCGAAATCTCCAATATCAAAGAATTGAAATAAATAAATCTTTTCTCTAATTTTAGAGATTTTAAAAGCCTTTTTAGGGTTCTATAAGACCATTAGAGCATTTTGGAGACCATTTAGATTGATCCTTCTTTGGGAGAGTAGCTGCCCTACCAAATGCAACTTTTCTAGTTTTGCATGTTCTTGCCTCCAGACCGTATGCAATGGGAGGATGCCATCCTCATCCTCCATAATGTGGAGTCGGCTTAACATAAAACCTCGTTCATCCACCACCGTTGTTATGCTATTGCATAGTGAAAGTATTCCAACAAGGAATCGTTATTGGAACAGTAATAGGAGGCACGCAACAACAAGCCAAAACAAATAAGGGATTTGTAACTAGTTTTGTGCCACTGCCTGGGATCACCTAGGGTTATGACTCACCAAGGCAAGATGGCGAGTGTAGTTTATCAAAAGTTTTGGTATCTAAGAGCAGAAAAAGAGGAGGAAGGCTCCTCGACCAGAGAGAAATCCCTAAAATGGTGATTGTTGCCTCCAAAACCCTAATCCTACAAGTTTGGAGCACGAGAGAAAAAGGTCACCAATATTACAATTTTCTTGGAGGAAATTATTTAATGAAATGGTGTAATCTTGCTTCTAAAGCACTTTTCCCTTTTTTTTTTTTTTTTTTTTTTTTTTTTTTTTTT